CCGAGCGATTCTGTGATTCTGTGATTATCACAGGGCAAGATGGGCATTAAGAAATCTCCTACATGCAAACTTGAGAGGGCACATGAAAGAAGTAACAGTCTGTCCTGTGTCCCCCATGTCAAGCAGTGCTGGATTAGGCTGTTTCCTCTTGGAAGCTGTAGCAATACTGCAGATCAGAGCAATAGACTGTATCCATGAAAGAAGGGAGAGGCACTCAATGTCAGGGAAACAGATCAAAACCTGGCTTTAATAGCTCACATCTCGGGGGAGTGTGGCTAGAGCGGAAGGAAAGATCTTGTATCTTAACACATACTGCGATGCTGTCAGTCATCCAAGGGAACAGATGCTGCTGCCTTGCAGTAACCCATCCGCTGCCTGGCACTGTTGTTCCCTCCACATGCCTTTTCCCTCTTGCATATTTTATTTCTTTGTATCTTGTTATGCAGTAGGATCTCTCACCTTTGTGCTTTCTCTCTGTGGGTGGGCATCTTGCCACCAGTCTGACCCAAAGCATCTGCTCCTCTGAGTGGGGTGGCTCTGAGGAAACATAGGTGGGAGCAGCAGCCCTCCCACCTCCCCCACTGAATCAGTGGCCCAAACAAAGCATTGAAGAAGGGAAGCAGACAGGAGGAGAGGGACTGCCAGCCTGCGCCTGACCCGCTGTTGTCTCTGCTGGTCGTTTTTCTCTGACAGCATCTGGCACGAGCTGCTTCTGGGAACAGTAATGGGGCAGCCAGCCCTCCAGGGAAGCTTGATCCCAGCAGCTTGTCTGATGCCCTGCAATGGCAGGCATTGTGCTCCTAACATGCAGTTATGGCCCATCCTATGCACTGGGATGTTTCCCTTACTGTTGCTATGACCCAGGAGGCAGGCACTGGCCTGACTGAACACCCACTGGCTGTGCTGCAGGGTGTAACGCTGCCTCAGGGCATCGGCGTGACAAAAGGAAACCAGGCAGGTTAACACTGTGACAGAAGAGTGCAGGTCTGCTTAGCAGCAGTGTGGGTCCCATCTTGCCCATTACCCTGAGAGCAGAAGCGTACCCAGCTCAAAGCTGCATCTCCTGCAGGAGCAGCAGTTGAGGGCAGCATGTCCTGCCTCTCCTTCACTTACAGGCAAGGGCAGCTGTGACCCTGCTGGGTCTGGTCACTTCTGGGCATGTGACAGAGGGCAGGAGTTGTCTGAGTGGCTGCACATTTTGAGTGCTTGCAGTGAACTGTGCTTTTTCTGGTAGCTTAGTCCTAAGGGGATGCAGGGCTCTGGCCTTGGGGAGCACTGCTGCTGCCTTTAATGTTATTGACTGGGCAGCTAGAGGGGGCTGAGGACTTTAGACAAAACCAAAGCAAGTATGTGTGGGTTAGAAGGAAGGCATTGTAGGTGTTTTGCTTCTTAAATTTATTTAACCCCCAGTAGGTGGATTGATGAATGTGGCAGAAGGACTTGCAGGCCAGCAAGAAGTGCTACAGGTATTTTGCCAAGCTAAGTCCAAGCTCACTGCATCCCAATGTGTGCTGCTCGCATCTCTCCTGGGGTTTGCTCAAAGAGGGCTGCCTGCACTGAAGACATCCCTTGAGGATCAAGTGAAGCATGGTGTTGGTTCCTGCTCCCCTGGCTCCTCTGAGCTGGCTCTATGCTATGCTTTTGCTAGAGCCTCAGTTTACTTCATTCTGAGGCGTTTAGCTCTTGGCTACCTGTCTGGAGACTTTGTTTGTTAGCTGCCATGGATGGCTCCGTGGGTCATCCCTACGTGCCAAAACCTGTGCTTTAATTGTCTCTGCTGAGAGTGGAGCAGGGTCTGTGGAGTGCAACATGTCTGAAAGCTCAGACTTCTCACCATCTCCTCCCTCCCCAGCACTGTGTTCTCATTCCAATTCACAGTGCACAGAGATCACCTCAGCCCACCTCCTCATTTGGCTTTAAATTAAGAGCAGGTGAGGACAGAATGGTGCAAGTCTTTCGCTTGTAGCACTTCAGGGAGCTGCTCTTCTCCCAGGCTGAGCAGAAGGACCAGAGGAGAAGGTGGCACAACGCTGCAGCGACACCGGTTCACAGCTGCTCAGCTGATGGTTCCCCTTTATCAGGCACCCTTCTGATTTACTCAGCAGCCTGGCAATGTGGCCAGCGCCATGACACGCAGACAACAGCCACGTGCAAGGGGAACTGAGTGCAGCAGCTTAGAGCGGCCGCATCCTGCCATAATCTCATTTTCCTGCAGCTGTGATTAAGGTTGCTCCCAATATAGCACCAGGACACTGCACAAGGGCATGTTTTATTGGCCTGTTAATATCCGGTGCTCGGGAAAGTGGTGAAGTTCCAGCTGCTGTTGCAGCTCTTGCTTGTAAATACAGCAGTGAAGGGAAGGGGAGGGGATTTCTGGAAAAAAAATACTCCCTGTTGTGCTTTCACACCCCAGCCTTTGCTGGCCCCTGCTCCCAGGGCCAGCTGTTGAGGGTGGGCTCAAGCCTTGAATTTTGGACCCAGGCGTCAAGGCAAGAGGGCTTTGTGGCTGTGCCAGCCTCTGGTTTCAATCAGCTCAGGAGCAGGTGGGTGTGCTGGGAGCAGGGATGGGACATGAAAGCAGCTCCCACCTGTGCTGCATCATGTACCTCATGGCTGAGCCATGCGTGCTGTAAGTGGGTGGCTTTGGAGGTCCAGGCTCCAATTCTCCTTTCCTCCTTGAAGCTGTGAGTTGTTTTCAGAGGGATGGCAGCTTTGCGGGCTGGCAGTGGAGGAGGACTTGGACTCCTGTTCATACTGCCCAAATGGCCTTCCCACCACAGGGCTGCCAACATCCAACCAGGGGACAAGTCATCCTTTTTCTGTCATATGTGAGGGAACTGCTGGGAGTGTGAGCTAGTAAAGACTATGAGTGGACTCCTGTCTGACTTCTGTAGTTAAAGGTGGCAGGGGAGTGAAAAGGAATTAGTAGTTATGGAGTAAATACACACTACATGTAGCTCTATACTGTCAACAGATGATAAAATAGGATGCAAAGAACTGCAGAAGCCTTTTATTTTTAATTTCATTTCTGTTCCATGCTGGTTCTAAGTATGACTTTCTGACAATATAGCGGCAGATTCATAGCTTCACAGGCGTTAGGACCAGATGGACCCGTTAGATCAGCCATTCTGCTCACCCATCCTACCTAGCCAGCTAGGATTTCATCCAGCTCCCTGCCTAGAGCCCCGTAACTTCTGGTGTCAATTGTGCCACAGGCTCATTTTCTTCCAGAAGGGCCCCGTGGGCCAGTCAGAGAGCAGCTTAGGGCAACTGGGAGACCTTTCCCATACTGACGGCTTATCCAGATTTTGGGGATAATCCCACCACTAACCTTTGCTTGTGTGAAGGTGTGTGTTTTGTTGGACCACAACATCAGCACTCCTAGTCTGGAGTACATGCTGGGCAGAGTAAGATCTTGTCAATTTTGGGACTGGTGATGGGTGCACAGCTCTCTGTTGACTTTGCAGAATCAATGGTGGATTCATAAAGATAATGATCATTGTAGTCATTAATAAACAGAATTCATGGCCTCTCCTGGTGTACTTGACAGCCCTTTGGGGGGAAGTGACATTGAAATAGGCAGTTCAGAAGTAATTACGGGAGCACAAAACTGGCAAGATTATTCTGCAATGTAAGCGGGACTGCATGAAAAGGGACCTACTTACCGTCTAGCTCTTGCTATTGTGATAGCACCTGCTGTGCTTCAGGCAGGTTTCAAGTGCACTGACTTCAAACAGATTGCAAGAAGCTTTGAAACATGCTCTTAAGGGAGTTGTGCCTAGGAAAGCCTCTCTGGTAATTGATTTACCCCAGTTTAATGTGGCAGAGGATGAAGTGAGAGGTAACACCAGGATTCAGCTGGCTCTAAGACAGAAAGACAAAATGCTGAAACTGCTTCTCTTGTAGAAATCTCTTTCCGTGTGTGGATGTGTGGAGGGAGCCTGGAAATCATCCCCTGCAGCCGCGTTGGACACGTCTTCCGGAAGAAACATCCGTACGTCTTTCCAGAGGGAAACGCCAATACGTACATTAAGTAGGTGTTTTGTGCTTGCTTAGTTTTTGTGCTTGCTTAGTTTTTGTGCTTGCTTAGTTTTTGTGCTTGCTTAGTTTTTGTGGGGTGAATAAGGTTTGGAAGGGGGGGAGCAGAGAAGATGGGGAGGAAATTTTGTTTGGATAATGTTGAAATATCCCTGGGCAGGAATATCCTGCGCCACGGAAAATCAAACCAGGATGACTCTCCCTTAGGTTTTCTACAGCATTGAGAATATGACAGAAATAGGATGCTTATATGGTACCTTTCATCAGTGCAGAAATGGAGGAACCACCCCAGCATCTCCCTGAGCCCTTGCCACAGTAACAGCAAATGGTTTAGACCTTAAGGTCATCAGAATACATTTACAATGACCTGAAATCAGGCTGCCAGCCATGGCTGTCAGTACCCAGTGACCTTAGCTGAGGGCTTAGCGTGGCTCAGCTGAACCAGAAAATTTGGTTCCTGATGCCTCTCCAAGAGGGGAGCCAAGCAGCATGCCAGAGTGGGCAGCTTTGCCTCTGGGCTGGTGTTGTCTTTCAAGCAGGGGCAGCAATGGGCTGCACCTTGCTGGCAGGGGCACTGAAAGAGTTGCCAGGGCATTCCAGCTGAAGGAGATGTGTCCTCACATGTGGGAACAGAGATTGAATCAGGTACTGAAATGTCTGGCTGAAAAGGGCCAAGATCCTGGAAACAGGTGGCAAGAAACAAGGCAGTACAAAAGTGGGAATCAGTGTGGGAAAGATGATGGGAGCAGCTAGTAAAGGCAGGAAGGATTTCCTCCTTTTTTAGAGCATGAAGGTTGTCCATGAAGTAAACAACAGAGAAAAACTCTGGGGACACTTAATGCAGGGTTGTTTCTCAGCTAGACTGCATTTAAGTGTGTTTACACACTAGGCATCCCTTTTAGTGTGGCTTTCCCAGTGTTATAAAGAGCCAACAACAGTATTTGTGAAGACCCAGCTACCACTGACCTGGGCTCTCTGCAGCTTCCCCACACTTTGCATGAGACAACAAACTGGGAGAATGCAAATTGCATCTCTCGGCTATATCTAATATGTATTTTCCAGCCACACAGCGTATGGGACAGGAAGGGAACCTTGTCACCTGCTTCAAAAAGATGGTGGTGAGGGGCACAAGGCATTGCTGACATTAAGGAGGAGGGCACAAATTTGAGAGTCACAAGGAGGACTCTTGCTTTTTGTAGTGAAATAAGACTCCTACAGAAGATGCTGGGATGTGGAAAAATGTCTGCTGTCAGGAGTCGCTGCAAACCTGCATTGAAAAGGCAGTGTCTGCATTGCATCACCTGCAGGAGGAGCAACAGAAGCTTGAATGGGTACAGCTCTTCTGGTTGCACTCCAGGCACACACATTCCAGGACTTTGGGGAGGTCTGAATCAACATGCAGGTGTGAGCCTTGGCATTTATCCCCATATTTCTTCTAAAACCTGATGAGATCAAGAAGCCAGACAGAAAAACCTCTTCACTTTGGGGAAGGTTAACTACAGATGTAGACACTGTGACTTAGGCGTCTCTTGAGCAAGAGAATGTAGATTTTTGCAGTGGCCTTAGCAAGAAAGGAGGAGCAGCATGAATCAGCAGGGGACTGCAAAGTGGTCTGGAGAAATGTATCTGTAGGCATTAGGAGCTTGGATTTTATTAACCTTCTGGTACCTATCAGCCTTAAACTTAATGTTGTAGTATATAGATTGAGAGGAGAAGCAGCTTCTGGCAACCTGATGCTATGCAGTACCTCTGTTTTAACAGAGATGTTAGCAAAAAATATCTCCTCCTTTCTACCAGATATAGATTTTTTTTTTTTTCCACACATCCTCTTCTTCAGTGCAGGAGACAGCTCATGCTCCAGTGTTATGCTGGGTTCACATGCAGACTATCTCCTGTTTTGGCTGTGCGGGACTTGACTGGATCAGAGCCTGTCCTATGGCACCCATAGCCCAGTGGTGTGATAGCAATAGCTTGGAGGAACTGGCCTGCCTTGGAGCAGGAGCTTGGAGGACTCCCCTGACCTAAGAAGGGGTGGGTGGATAGGTGTGGAGCAACAAAACCATTTTCAAGGAGAGTTAGAGCCACCTCAAGTCAACAGAAGATTTCCTGATGTTCACAAACCTTCTGCAGACACCTGGCTCATGTGGAAGATTGATGTTTATGCTTACAGCACTGTGGCCAGAGTGGTTTCTTTTAAGTTTGAAGTGCTGAGATTTGCCCAAGCGAAATCCAGAGGTGCAAAGCAGGAGAGTCCATACGGGATTGACGCAAAGGAAATATTTGCCTTCAATCTTTGGCAAATTCTGCACTGCTTTTCAGAGCTCTATCCCAGCAGCTAAATAAAACCCCAGGCCCTGCCTACCTGGGAGATGACACTTAAGAGAAGCTGCACTTCTGAGTCTGATAGATGCAAAGCATGCAGCTGAGTTTGAAATGGTGAATTTATCACCCAAGCCTTTTCCTTTTCTGTTTGGTCCCTGGAGTAATGAGGAGGAGGAGTATCTTCTCTAGTAGGGGAAGGTGGGCTGGCTCAAAGGTGGTTCGGACAAAGCCAAAGTCCAAGTTGAGGATGGGAGGAGGGCAGGATGGAATAGTCAATGCATTTTGGAGAATGTCACCTTGGAGGCTTCCTTGACTTCACCCGTCTTTCGTTGCCTCCTTCAGAAACACCAAGCGCACTGCAGAGGTGTGGATGGACGAATTCAAGCAGTACTACTACGCCGCTCGTCCCGCAGCCCAGGGGAGGCCTTATGGAAAGTAAGTGTCTTCCTCTGCTATCTGTGCCCTGCCTGCTGCAGTGGGTGCTCGCAGTGATGTTGCCCTGCTGTGGAAAGCTGCCTGCCTTGCTTCTGTAGTAACACTCAATTAAATGCTAATGGCAGGCAGATGCTATGAGCACAGCGATGAAAAACATAAACAGCTTGTTTATATGCTGTGCTAGTTTGCCCCAGTGAGTGAACCGAATTGAGGTGGGGGAAAACCCCCTCTGCCTATGTCCTGCCCTTGGCATTAAGTATGAGTACTTCTGGTCCCAGAGTGGAGTTTGACGGGGAGAGAACAGAGGTCTCACTGACAGCTGAGGAGCAGGAAAGTCATCGAATTTTGGGCCCACTAAGGCTTTATTGGAAAGGAGCAAGTGCTTTGTATGCAGGGAGATTGCCATTCATTCTATGAACAGTCAGAAGTGCCTCTCTGTCCGGAGGACTGTATGAATTTGTGTTAATTTCTTACTTTCTTATGCTCCTCCTTTACTTAGAAAGTTTCTTTTGGACCACAGTGGATTCCAAATCCAACCCCTAATTCCTTCTGGCTACTCTTAAATTTCTAAGATAAATAAATTGAAATCCTGGTGACTAACCTATTTCCACTGAAGTCATACCCACTTCCCATCTGTCAGCATGGAATGAGGTAACAGCTCCATCCTGCTAAATACACAAGGCTGTAGAGAAGGTAGACTACGTGAAGAGAAGGTACTGGAGGCTTCCTGCTGCTCTGTAAATGTCAGCTCATAACAGCTCCATGGGTAGAGGCTGGCCCAGAGAGGAGCTTGTGTTTGGAAAATGTTATTATTCAGCATGATCACTCAGCAGAAATTTTGCCCTGGTTAATGAAAGAAAGAAGTATTTCACCATGTGGTTATCTTTTGCTGACTCAAAGGTGTGTTTGGGTGCTCTTGTGAATCAAGGCCTTCTGTAGTCCTATAAACTAAGAGTAACTTACAATAGCATATATTAATTTCCTAGTACATTAATATGTTAAATTAATGCTTATTGCATACAGTAGATGGCATACACTTTTTTACTAATAATTTTTAAATTACTATACTTTTCCATGAACCTTTCGTTCGCCAAACTCCAGGCTCCTTGTTAAAATGTCAATATGTCATCATGTCATTTTACCAAGTGAGACCACCGAAGAGAGAGATTGAAACAACTGACAAAGCTCATGCAGAAGATAGCAGAAAATAGAGCTGTTGATGCTCTTGTGTTTGTTTGCTGCCTGTGCATATCTGTTGGGTTTCTCCCAACTTCCCTTTTTGGTGCATTTGGTCTCACTTTCTTTATTTGCCTTGTATCTCTACAACATTTTCTTTCCACAGCATCCAGAGCAGAGTGGAGCTACGGAAGAGGTTGAAATGCCACAGCTTCAAGTGGTACCTGGAAAATGTTTATCCCGAACTTCGGTATGGATATGTGATCTCCACCTGTCTCTAGCAGGCCAGGGTGGTGCCCTATCCCTCCTGCCCCACTGAGCCTTCCTCTGCTCCTCCAGTCCCCATACCTCCCTCCTGCCCCAGAGACACAGGCACCCCCTTCCTTGGGCTTCACAGAAGGGGGCAGTGAATTTTGGGCTGGCTTTAAGCACAGTGTGCTCACAGTGTGACATGATTCATTTGTGATCCTGCTTTCTCTAAGCAGTCTTACAGACTCCATGGCTCTTTGTGCAGGTCTGGTAAGGGGTAAAGCACCAGTTATTTCTCCTAGCTCTTGGGGCTTCCTCAGGTGTCCTCCTGCCTACACTGTGAGACAGGTGGTATAGGGAAATAGCCAGTTTCCCTTACAAAAGTATCCCAAGGTGGAAAAATGACCATAGCCTATGTTGGGTTGTTTCAGTACTTAATGACAGAAAAAAAGCACCTGATTACCAGTCCTTTCACACTTTTCTGTCATACTTAAGACTTCTCTGTTGTGAAACCATCCACTCTAGGAGTTTATGATCTGTATTCAGGTGGCTCTGCCTTACTCCGAGCCTGATGCTCTGCTTAATATGCACTTCCACAGCTGTGAACCCTTGTAGTCACCAAAATTACTCTGGAAACCATTGCATCCAGTCTCTCAGTCATTATCAGGAGCCATGCTCAGAAAGGGTGCAGAAATTTTGGAGATACCTCTGGGGGTCTGCTGGTGCAATGACTGAGTGCAGAATTACAGTGTGAGAATGATTTATAGCTGCTTTCTTGTTTTTTGCCATGTGAGGCGTTGCACAGCAGCATTCACAGGGAATGCCGGGGTTGTGGTGGTTTGTTATAAAGTTCCCCATTTCTGTAAGCTGAAGGCTGACCTTCAGCCTGCTCACAGTCTATTCCTTGCTCCTCTGTTTGTCTGGTGCAGTGTTATTTATTTTTTCCTCTTATAAAGGCCAGACATCCATCTCCAAGAGCTGCTTCTGCAGCGTCCATGCCCATGTACTGTTCGCAGTGGTTCAGTATTGTAATAGATCTTGCCACTCTCATTTTCTAGAGGTGAAATGGCACAACTGCACCCTCCTTACCCACTGAGCCTCCCTTTGGGTGCTCCTTATGCCTGGGGGAGTAGGCATGTTGTTTTCACGCTGTTCTCACAGGATTCCCAAGGAATCACTCTATCAGACTGGGATGATCAGGCAAAGGCAGAGCTGCTTGGAGTCGCACAAGTCTGAAGCCCAAGAGTTCCCCGTCCTGAGCTTAAATCCTTGTATCAGCAGCAAAGGCACAGCAGCAACAGCACAGGTAAGTTGTGTTGCCTGTCCTCATGATGCTGGCTGGAGAGAAGGCTCTGGGGCAGCTTCAGGGTGATGTCCTAAGTTTGATAAAGCTCTGTTGGAGGATTACCCTTTCTGCCGACCTCTCTCCTAAGGCAGCAGGTAGTTAAACCCTAGTAAGTCCTCCTTACTTCGGTGGAGGCACTGGGCAGTAGCAGGGACCAGTGCAGGAGGCACCGTACAGGGTGGACCGCTCATCTCCATGCTAGCCTGCACTGAGCACTTACTGCTGCTCAGGAACGCCACGTGCCGTTCATCTGCAGTGATCAGAGAAAAACAAAGAGCGCTATAATTTCCTCTCATCTTTCAGCCTTATTTTTTTCAAAATGCAATGAATCGCAGTGGTATTTATAACTTCATAGTCTGCATGCTCTCAATATTAGATTGCCCATTAAACTAGTGAGAATTTAATGAGGATGATCTTGTTTTTTTCTATCTCGTTTTTTTCAGTCTCGCTGAGATGAGACAAAGCTGTGTGAATCAGTGTTCTCAAAAGCATATTCTAGGAAATGTTAGAGCCAAGAGCAGGCACATATGCCTTGCAGTAGAGTCACTGAAGCAAGACCCTGAAGACACAGCTTCAAAACCTGCCTTTGCTTCAGGCTCCCTTTGTGATTTTGAGCATGTCACTAAGTTCTCTCACTGTTTCCATCTATAAAACAGGGAGGATAACAATCGCTCGCTTCTTGGGGTGCTGTGAAACTATTTAATAGGCAATGGTGTGCTTGCTTCCACTTGACTGTACATCCTTAAACCTCATGGTTACACATTCAAACCAGGTAGCTATGCATATAAAAGGCTCAGCCTGGAGATGCTGTAGAAAGTGTCCCTAATTTGTATGTGTAAATGAAGCATGTCATTATGTGCATCTCTTTTGCATGCAGTTGCATGCCTGCCTTTAGTCAGGAAAATAATATCTGTTTCACAGTCTGGTAAAATCAACAATGACTACTTGAAATTTAGTCAGTTCAGGAAATGTAAGGAATATAACTGCAAGCATCACATAGTTACAGTTCTTACAGTTTAACTGGTTTCCAGGTTTTAGAATTATTTTTCTTTCTTTCACTGCTGCATGGACTTTTTACACAAACAGCAAGAGACGCAAGTTGATAAGAGCAGGTCATGTTTTGCAGGGTCAACTCCGCTGAAGGAAAAAAAATGCTTTAGTGACAATTGCAACTTTCAGTGAATTGAATGTTTTTTTAAAAAATCTGGGAAAATCAGAATGGAAAATGCTGCTGCAAGCTAGTGTTTCAAAATGAAATGGTATTGGTCTTTCTGAAATATCAATTTGATGTGATATTTTAAAATGAGAAATGTCATGCCAACAAGTTGGATTGTTTCATTCCCATCAAACACATACTGTTTTGACATTTCTGTGCAGTAAACTTTTGGAATTTTTCATGCCACAAACTTTTCATCTTCCCATTCTGATTCTGCAGCAGTTCTCAATAGATCAACACTTCCCACTGGATAGCAACTCCATTTCTTGTGTGCATCCAGTACTAACTCTGCAGGGTAACAGAAAAATGCGCTACAAACAGATTGTTGAATAGCTACGCTCAATACACACAGGCAGGAATAGAGAAAAACCTTTTCCTTTTATCTTTCTCTGTCTTTCTAGGATAGTTGTCTATTACTTGTACGCATGGAGAATATTTCAGATGAAAGCAGGATATTTAAATTTTCATTGTGACTAGAAAATTTTATTTTAATTACACAATTGTTACAAGACCAGCTGAACTTTTGGATGGCATGCGGGTTATAGTCACCAGGCTGTGTGGGATAGATTATGCAGCAGTCCTGAATGCTACTTAGTTTTGTATTTGATATACCAGAATAGAGCAATAATTTTCACTTTTAACATACTGAAGTAGCATCTTGTTTACCCTAAGCATCATTATTTGAAAAACAGGCTTAGCTAAATCAAAGCCGTGCTTTCCTGGCATTCAGTAAATACTAAGGAAATATCCTGGCCATCCAGATTCTTTATCATCAGTGTTAGTAGCATTAATTTGGTTGCTTGATTGCCCTTCTGTAGCTGACTCCCTGCTAGGCTCCCCAAGCCCTTTACCAACATTACAAGCATGAAGTCCTGGGACCAGGTGGGAGAAGATCTGAGCTGTCATATGTCACAGTGGTTTGAGGAGAGATGAACAGGAGCTGTCAGATGGCAATCAATTGCTCTTTATTTTAGTTTTCTTTCTATCTGTAGTGCAGGGGAAGGATGCTGTGAGCTCTCTGGCCACATCCACAGTTTGGGTAAATTGAGAAGAGTGACTGCGGTGAAATCAGACAGGCAGATCTCACCCCCTTAGCAGATCTCACAAACCCTCACTGATGGTGTCTGGTGTTAGTCCTGAATTAATAAAAGGGGCACTGAGGCACAAGAAGACCCCTAATCTTTGTGTAAGAGAGCTCTGTCTTCTCATCCCTGGGATCCATTTGGTCCTTCCCTCTCCATAAGGTCTGGTAGCAGTCAGGGCAGGCTGTCCCCTGGTGTGGCTCTCAGAGGGACCTGCTCTTGGGTTAGTGACTGGCAGAGATCTTTGTGCAGTGCTGCCCATCCCCAGAGCACAACAGGCTCTACCTGAACTCCTGCCCACCAGAGCCTTGGTACTCTGTCTTGTTGTGTCTCATTTGCTAAATGAACTGACTGATTTATTTTTTCACAAGAGAAATGCATCTGAGGAAAAATAACGGATCATAATTTTGTCCTGGTCTATCTGATGAAGATGTGAATAGCTGGGTTTTTTTCAAACTAAGTGTCAGTTGATATTAGTCCATACATCTTTGAAGTAGGCATCTGACTCTGGGATTTGTTTAAATCATTAGCAGTTTCAGGAAACCTGACATACTTCAGATAAAAAAGCAGAAGACAGTTCGGCCTGGACACTCACGTACATGGAAGCAGTAGCCACGAGATGAATGTATAGTTATTCATCTCTTAGACAAGTGAGAAAACATTGGGAAGGTTGCAGCATCTGTTTCCTGGGCCTGCAGCTGCCACTGCATTTGGGTGGCACGTTCTTGACGCTTATCGTGAAGTAAATGTAATGTGAAAATCTGCCTGATATGGCATTGAAGCTTACCCCGGTTGACTCAAGGACCTCTGTGGACTCACTAGATCTGCACTTTCTTTGTAGGAGATACAGCATCTTTCCAAACTAAGCTGACAGTGTCCCTCCTGAGACATCTCAACCATAAAAATCCTCTTCTGACCTTCCTTCTCTCAGAAGTCTTTGTTCTTCTCCTCCGTTGGCACGCCCTGCCCCAGCTGTAGGTTGGCTGGAGCTTCAGGAGCCAGGCTGAGCTGGCAGAGCAGAAGGGCTGGCTGGCAGCAGTGTCATCTCTGCACCCAGGCTGCAGCAGGCACCTTTGGTACTTTGCTTTGCGTCTCCTGAGATGTGCGTAAGTGCTAGCTGCATCCCAGGGCCTTTTGATGAGTGAAGCACTTTGGTATCCTTGGGTGACCCATGCATTTGCTTGCCTTGGGAAATCCTTCCTTGTGATTTTAAAAAGATAATAATTGAGGGCTGATGTTGTTCCTAGCTTCTTCAGAAACATTCTTCTCTAGCCGCTACCCCAGCTTTAGGGTACAGCTGACCTCTTGCTCAGCAGCAGAGCATGTGCAGCACTGTCATGTAACACTGGGCTCCCATCGGGCTGCTCCTTGCTAGGCTGAGGGGCTCCTTCCTTCTTCTGCCAGCCAGGCTACACCAAGCCAAAGGTCACATTTTAAAATAATTTCCTCAGTTCACAGTGATGCTGAGCAGCAGTGACAGGTGCCTCCTCAAATGATGCTAAAGCCTTGAAAAATAGTCACAAGCCTCAGATGGGGGCTAGCGTTATCCAAGGCCTCAGAGAAAGGGGATTGCTGGTTGTGGTGTGCAGCTGGTAGCTCTGCTCACCCAATCCACCCACTTCCTCCTTGCTCTATCACCACTTCATCAGGAGCTGCTTTGTCTTTGAAAAGGCAGGAAACCTTGATCTCAGTTTTATCTCATGTGTCTGTTTATCCTTAGTGCCAGGGGTCAGCTCTCAACTCCACTGACATAAATTCAGACCAGTTTGCAGCCCTGAAGCCATGTTAGCTCCTTGAAGGGTCTCCCTTCTTAGGAGTACCTTGGGCTGCCCTGTTCACCACAACCCCCAGGATGTGAAGCTCTGCTGTTGTTCCTGCTGTGCAGACCACATGAATGCTCAGTGTGCCAGGGTTTAGAAGATAGAGCAGTTTCTCATGGGAAAAAAAGCAGGAATTTTCATCCCAACTGATACAAATTGGGGAAGAGATGGGGTAAGATAAAAAATTGCATGGCCTTTTGCCTGTATTTTAACTCAAAGCTTTTCATGGATTCTGTAGTGTTCAAACAACTTTTTCTTTTCCTAGAATTTCTTCATTTTCTGCATCATTTACTCTGGCTTTCATGTAGGGCTGAAAATACAAGATGTGATTACAAGTGGATAAAACATTTTCAACAGGACTGGCTTCCATAAAAAGCCATTCTGCCAAAATAGAAGAGCTATGTGAAAATCTGTCAATTTAGGTGAAGACAGTAGCAGGACACCCTGGGGGCAAGAGGGGAGGATTCAGTGTCAACTATCGAACTGAAGCATGTATCTAGCTCTGAAAGCCTCACTTCTTATGATGAACCATGGCTTCGGAGGTGGTGGTTACTACCACCCTGTCTATTCCATGGTGCTTTGCTGAGTGAGAGGGTGGTCCTGCCTTGAGAGGATGTGAATATTGGAAAGGCTTGAACAGAGCTGGGCCTGGAAAAAAAAGCATAGAGAACCTCTGGGAGGAGCAGTCCTTCACAAGGTGCGTCTGTGAAGCAAGGAGCTTAAGAGGTCAAAATGAAACAAAAAAGTCCCATGGCCTGAGTTAGTTGGGGGATTCAACATATACACAAGTTACAGGGTGAACTTGCTCCTGCTGAGGAGTTTCATGGGTGCAGCTCCAGTCCTGTCCTGGGCTAAAATGAGCAATTGGTTAAAAATGTAGAACAAGTTTTCAAAGCAGCTTGTAGCAGCATGGGCCCCAAGAACAGGTGTTGGAGCTTGCCCCATAGGGCTTGGTTCTTCACAGATGCAGGACTAATTTGGCACCTGATTTCCCAGGTTGGTGGTTTATGCAGCAGCTGACAGCATGCATGGTTGGGATGTCTGGAACGTGTTCGCTGTGGGATCAGGTAGACTCTGCTCTGTCTGACAAAGAAGTAGTAGTTGCCAGAAGGCCCTTTGGGTGCAGACTACACTCTGAAAACGAATGCTTGTTATGTTTCAAAATCCTGGGCAGCTCTTGCTGAGAAGCCTATGGGCAGGCTGTTCAGAAAGCTGGGTTTGATTTCCATTAGCTTGTAGAGAGTAGTAGGCTAAGAAACGTGGGGTGTGGGGATCACAATGTGAAGTCCTTGTGGATCTGGGTCTGCTCTGCGTGTTTTCCCTTCCAGGTGGCTAAGAACCTGAATTAAGTGGGATTTATATTCCCAGCAATTAAGTGCCTGTAGCTGTCTGTTTTGAAGTCAGGGAGAGGAGTTAAAGCTGCTGACGGTGACAAATACCAAAGGGGTGGAAGTGTTTCCCTAGTCTAATAACTCATGCTAATGCAACCCAAAGCCTCCACTATTCAAAGTCAGGGGAAGCTGCAGGCGTCCCAGCTCCGAGATCAGGGCAGCCATTCTTTCTGGCACTCAGAAGGGGCTGCAGTCTCCCAGGAGCACCTTTTACTTTTCATTTTTCCTGACCTAGCCTAAACTGCCAGGCATTTGAGAGCTGCTTTCCTTCCGTTGCCAACACCCCTACTCACTTCACTCCTCCCAGAGCTCTGACTCTTCCGTATCTGAGCTCTAAGCTGTTTTGCTTTCTCTCTGAACCTTTTCTTTCACATCAGCTTTTCCAGTTCTCATAACCTGTACCCTGTCAAGGTGAACAGGAAAAGCAGCATGAGAAAAAATACCTCCAAAACAGCCCAGGGGAGCAGGAATAGCAGTGGTCATAGCAAAGCAGTACAGCAAACATTTGGAGTTTGGTCCCATTTCTTTGATATAAAGGGGAGCTTTATCCCTGTTTTTTTTGTCATATTTTGGAACAGAATCCTGAGAATGGCAGACATGTGCTGTACATCACCTTCTCTTTTCTGCTGCTAGCTGCAAAGCATTTCTGTTGCTTTTCCTCACAAAAAAAAAGGATTGCATATTGTGTGTAATATTTCTGCCTCTCTTGCCATTTTCCATCCCGCTGTTCCTCAACGACAGCCCAGTTCTGGCTATTGAATCCTTTGCCTTTTGAACTCTTTTCTTCCAGCAGCTTTTGTAGACATTTTCTTTGGTACGTGCAGTCCCGCAATGATAGCTGCAGTTTTGGGGAGGCTTGAAACAGCCTAGTGACCTGTCCTGGTGCCTCTTGAAGTCAATGAGGTTTGTGCTCGGATTCAGAGGGGGCAGGATCTAAGACAAAATGTTTGCTTTCCAGGTAGAATAATACCAAGAATCAACCCTGCTCTCTCACCTTCTTTCTTTTTCTTCCTCTTTGCAGGAATGGACATACACATACAACCACCAAGTCCACCAGCAGCAGCTGTGTTTGTCTGTGTACACCCTCTTCCCCGGTTCCCAGGTGCTGCTGTCACCTTGCAAAGAAGGTGACAACAAGCAGGTGAGCACTTTTATTGAGCCCTCGTTTTCTTTGAAGTTCCCTTTCTTTCAGCATAATATTACTGAACATCAAATGGCCCATGTGCTCTGACTTCATCTGGGAAGCGTAGTCTATCTGAGAGTGCAGACTCTGGCCTGTTCAGCCCTTTGCTTCCTATAAATGAATGTGTTGATAAGGCTGTCTATTAGTGCGGGTGGTGATCTGGATACTTATCTGCAAAAGTCAAACCAAAACTGGCAATTTAGTTTACACGGGCTGCCAGTCAGCCAGCAGATGCTAACGTTTCTCTGCAGTTAATCATCGAGCTGGCATTTGAACCAGTGACCTGGGGAAAAAGCTGTTAGTAATATATTATCTTTCTGAAGCCAGGCAGAGACTGAGCTTAAATGAGTGTGCTTTCCGATGGGAGAAATGCTCAGTGTCCGCTCTGCTGGGTGTGGGCTGGGGTACCCTGTACTTCCCAGCATCAGGCCATAAAGGCTTAGTGATGACTGTCCTCTTGATGCTGGAACAGTATAGTAAAAGTATAGCGAGGAGGAAGCTTGTGCACTCCTGTTTTTCCTCTCATGTGTCTCTCTTCTCAGCGATGGGGTAAAGTTGGGTCACACATTGAACACATAGCTTCACGCTTTTGTTTGGACACTGAAACGATTGGAGACACAAATGAGAACACCAAAGAGCTTGTCATCAACCCTTGTGAGAGCACAGCCATGAGTCAGCGCTGGGACATGGTAATGTCTTGACCTGCTGGAGGACTTACACAGTGGGGATGGGCCTTGAGATGTTGCTACATGCAGCCACGACACACCAGATGGAGCTCACGTGCAAAACCATTGGGAGTCCTTGTGTATTATGGGACAGGAGAAGAATCATTCAAATAAAAATAAGGACTTGGCACTCCCAGGTTAAAAAACAGATGATGTCTGCAAGGCACGCAGCTGGTATTGGCCTGTTGGCGGTCATACGTTCAAAGAGAAGGGATGGCAAAAAAGCAAACTTGAAAAGTTTTAGAAGCATACTGGGGCTCCTGTGATGGGCCCTGCAGAAGTTCAGTGTGCACAGTATTTATTAATCTCTCTGGAAACACAGGTGAAAGAGCCTTCAGGATCAAAAGGAGGCTTGGACTCAGGAAAACATCTCAATAGCTTTTGGAGGATGAGGCCGGTGCACAAGGAGAGATGTGCTAAGGGATGCTATGAAACATCAACTGAGATCAAGTGGAAAACCCTGAATTATCTTGCACTTTTCATTGCTGTGGATGAATTTGTCTTCTGCAGACAGCGTGGGTAGAACTGTGTTGCACGTTCAAATTTGTATCTGATCCACGTACTTGTTGTGTGTACGGAGGCAGGGCCGTCGTGTGTGGCTGTGGCCAGGATCAAACCAGCAAGTAATGGGGGAGTCCTGTTCAGTGCTAACTGTGCACGGGGGTTTTTTGAATCTTCAAAGTCTAAGCAAACAGAGAATTCAGTGTGTGAGATTAAAGGATATAAACTGCTGTACAGTTGGGAGGAAAGGCAGTAACGTGATTATTTCTCCTCTCTGTAGGCCATGCGTGAGCCTCAGTCACTGAAAACTACCCTATAATCTCACTATGTGTCTCTCACTGCTTCAGATCTGGAATAAGTCAAATTTTCACTTCTTTTCCATAAAAGTAATATTTTTGGTAATTGAAGGTAATTGTGTCATGTTTGTGTTTCCCAATTTCCCAACTACAGAAGAGGGGACTCCCATGAAGTGCTGCTACTGGAGGAACGGAGGACGTACTTAAAACTAGAGACTACTCTGAGAAAGAAAAAGGGGTATTACCTGGTTTTGCTTCCCAGGTGTCTTGTAGCCCATGATGTGACGTACTGAAGAGAAGGTTTTGCATTCTGCCAGTCACAGCTGTGACCAGGGAACCCTAGGTCACAAAGTACCTTTCTCCTGAAGTCTTATCATAAAAAGACTTGGCAGAAATTATTTCTTCAGGTTTTGGAGATAAGTGATTAACCAAAGGTCACATCAGGTGCTATTGCTATGTGGGAGTGAGGTGACTGCCAAAGGAGAATAGGGCAGGAGGCCTCAGAAGGGGTCTTAGGAATAGGAAAAGACAAGAAGGTTTCTTCCAGCCTGTCCTTCAGAGCAGATCCCACTACAGCAACAGGTAGCAGGCAGTGAATCACCAAGAGCTGCGCACACAGCTCTTGTGTAGTAACAGCTTTTGAAGGGCACTTTTGCAGGACCATCAATGTGACTTGAACAAAATATTGTGTCTCTGAAAATGAGAGGGTTTAATGAAAATCCTATCCTTTGTTCCCTGTGCTGCATACTTGTAGGTTAAATATCACAAGCTTTGAGCCTTCGAGAGCTCTTGGCATCCCTTCTTGAATAAATTGCTGGCTTGTAGGATTTTACTGCCTCAGTTTCTCCATTCTCAGTGCTGGGAGAAAGCTGTGTGTGTAAATCTCACTGGCTTTAGAGGCAGGACCAATATAACTCTTTATTTACAAAAGATCACAGGGTATGAATGATTTCTGTGTCCTACAGTAATTACTAACCTAATCAAGTTCCCTTGGTGCAAACCTCAAGGGCTTCTGTTATGAAAGGGCTGGAGTAAGCTGTCATTTCATGGTGGGAGATGGCCCATGACATGGGATTCCATGTCACCGCTTTGCACAGGAAACAAAGGGAAGTATTAAAATGGAATGGACCTATTTCACAAAGAAGGGTAGTGACCCTGGGCTCCTTCAGTTTAATTGAACCAGCAAATGTCATGCTTACTTTCCACACTGGTGATGACATGAAAGTAGTAATAATTCCCTGTCCATTGCTCACAAGGAAAAGCAGCTCCCTGGAGCTTGCAGGTTAACATGTACACACCTCTACCATGCCTGTAGTGTTGGACTTCCCAGCTCCTGGCATTTCAAGGGCATTTTGCCCTTCTGATTCTTTTCCCCCTCCCTTTTGGCAAGAAGTGAGTGAGTGACTGGCTCAGCTGCCAGCCAGGGTCAACCCACCACGCTGCCCTAAGCAAATTAGAGTCCGTAGTATAGCAGGCTGGTATTCTTCATGGCTTGGGCTCTGATCACAACTGTGCAATAGGATCTGTGCTGCTCAAATTTCAAATCTCCAAAGCTTTAGTGAAAAGCTGTGGGCTAGAATTGTTTGTAGAAGTGGTAAAGGAAGCAAAATGAAGCGGGTTACACACGGGCAACAGAAGAAACTGTAGGTCATTAATGTTCTGGCTAAATTATTTTCAGATTATCAATCCAGGTCCAGTTTTAATATTACATAGCTGCTTTATATGGCTGAAGAGTTTAAGGAAAGCAAGTATGGGTGTCCAGCTTACATTGAGACTTAAGGGCTGAAATCCAGTGGAATTATTCCAGATTTACGGATGTTTTCCATATGTCCACTGTTCTGTTATTCCTTGAAAGTGCCTTCAAAATCCTGTAAGAATAAAAACCTGTTACAAGCTACTACTTCTCCAACTGAGTCTAATTAAGTTTTGAGTTGAGCTGCATTTTAGCTTAGAGCTGTCAAAAAGCAACATATAAATTTACAGGTAAGAATGCTGCTTTTGTGGCGTAGGGGCTCTTTCATTTTCTCTGGTGTTACTTGGCCATTAAAGAAATCCAAGCTGGTTGTGTGTGATGTGCAAAAGAAAACATGACTGAATTTCAAGGTTGGGTTTTGCATATGCGCTCATCTAGTAATTATTTATCCACTGTCCGTCACAATGAGTGATGTCTCTCATTTTCCTGTGATTTTCTTGAAAGAAGCGTCCAGACAAGGCATTGCTACTGTACAGGGTTAAATTCCATTGTAAAACCAACGAACCAAGGAGGAAAAAAAAGGAAAAGGAGCATTGAAAGCTTCTATGTGACCTGATACATGTAATAAAAGAAATGTATTGCAAAATCAGGACTGTTACTAGGCTGAATGGTTTTGGAGTCTCCAAGTCAGCAAGAATGTGTTTAGGATTATTTTTAAGGGTTAAAAAAAGATCTGAAGTGTGAACAAATTTACTGATTGTAAGCATACTCTCTCCTGCAGTCTCTACAACTCAAACTTTCTTACCTTGGGCTGTGAGCTGATTGCAGGCAGAAGTATCCTGGGTAGCCTGTTGCCACCACTCAGACTAAGAGAAGTGGGAAGAAGCAAACTCTCATCTAAAGGTCAAATTGATACAAGTCTTCCTAGTTTTAAAATTTCTTATTTTTACCCTGTGTGAGGAAAAGAGTTGTTTTTCCTGTAGGGTAGCAGCTGTCTCTGCTGAAGCAGGGAGTCTGCCAGGATGCCCAGAGTGCACGAGGCACCTTAATGCTGCAGCAGGACCCTCTGCAAACTGGCAGTGTGACCTGGCCATGGGCTGAAGTGGTTGTGCGTTGTGCAAATGAGCAGCAAATTCAGCCCCAGGGACTCAGAGCTACACCATGGGGTCAGGTTTGTAACACAGCACCAGAGCAAAGTCCCCCCCAATAGTCAGTTTTCTTACTCTGCAGTGCTACTGTGGTCCTTCGGATCAGCCATGATTGCATCAGGTATTAGACAAACACTACATGCTCCCAACTAACTGACCATAGAGACACATAATGATCCATGTACCTATGTGTCTCTGCAGGAGCGAGATACAATGCCATGCCGCCTCTCAGCTTTGGAGAAGTTACCTGAGCCTATTTTAACGGAGGTCAGCATCCTGGTACAATAATGCTGTTCTTGCATTTGGAGTGTTTTTAGGCAAATCAGTGTTAGAAACACTCTGAACAGTTTTCATGAGTTCTGGTCCTGCTGAGAATTCCTGGATCACCCCCATGGACATCCAGCTTATTTTCTCTGACTGTTTTCTTAAAACACAGAAGATTACATGCAGCCGCTACCTAATCCAAGGGTATTACTAACATTAGCTCTGGCTCTCTTGGGCTAAGCCAACACGATTTAGGTAGCTATTACAAGTTTTACTGGACTTCCTGGGGCCACTGACAACAAGGACATGCATAGCAATGATCATTTCACAAGAAGCAAAATAGCATGCAGTATTGGGAGAGAGTGCTCCTAATCCTCATCTTGATGCTGCTTTCACCTCTTTACTCATCTTTGGAGGAGCTGGGGAGGGTTGTGCACAAGCTGAGGTGAACAGGAGTTTTCCTGAGGGTTTGGCAGTGGTGGGAAGCATTTGCAGGTAGTCTGACTGACACGAGAGCCGATGGAAAGCAAGGGGGGCAGTTCACAAGATGCACAGTTAAGTTGTGGAGGTGTGAGGCTGCTGTTGTTGCAGCTGGTCAGATGAGACGGGGGAGTAACCAGGGACATTACAAATCATCTGAGCATGAAAACATCTGCTCCCAGGGGTGCAGAGAGCCTGGGTGGATGTCAGGTCCACCCTGCCCTTTCAGGGTTTTTTATTTTGACTGATAACTGATCTAATGGTTTGAAATGGCTGCCCCAGAATGCTGTAGGGGTTTGAAGCAAATTTGCTTGTCTGGTCGCTACTTATTTTTGCTTCTGTCAGTGAAACTGTTGTTAGAGTGGCAGTGAATTATTCGGTGTCTTGGAAGTGACAGCTTGGTTTGGATGTGGCACATACATTGATAATGTGCATTACTTGTTCTGCCTCTGCAGCTTTGCATTGCCACTTAGTGTGTTTGCAGTGCATCCTTAGCTTGAAAGATCACAGCCATTGCATTTTGAAATTTATTTTCTTCTGTGGAGAGATGTTTGAAGCAAAAACCAATTTGGTTTATATAAACTACATTAGATA